GTTTCCTTGCTGGAAAAGAGATCAAAGGTTCCTTTGACTGTCAGTACCCAGGATCCCACCACTTGACTTGATTTCTCATCAGGGAGGGAGGGTTGCAAAGCCTTCACACCCTTAAACACCTGATTTATATCCTCCCCTCCCCGTGGCAGCTCTCCAAACAAAGAGTCACCAGCACAGAGCAGCAGCAGCAGCAGCAGCAGCGAGCCTGTTTTGACCAAATTTGGGGAAAAAAAGTTCCCTGGAGCAGTTGAGCAACTTGAGGATGTGGAAGATGGAGAGCTGCTGCCTCCCCTGGCTGAACACCCAGCCAGTTCTAAGGGGCACCGTCTCCACCTCCAGTTTTCTGTTTTGGTTTGGCCTGAGTGCGACAGAGCAGCTTCCTTCCTTCCAGCCCTGCTTGTTTTGGGGAGCCCTGCATGCGATGAGGACACGGGCTGGATAATCAGACCACCCGGGACTCTGGCCGTGGGGCCTGTGCTCAAGCATGCTGGGCTCTGGGAAGGCAAAGGGCAGAGTTGCCATCTTCTCTCGTCTTGGGCTGCCAGGGAACTGCTGGCTGCTTCTCCCCATCTGCCCGTCTACTTGGCTCTCGGCTCACTGAAAGGGGAGTCGACTTATTCAGAAGACCCCAGGTGAGCTACAATTCCAAGGATTGCTTGCGATGGATGTTAATAACTTTAACAATTCCACTCTTTCTGGAAGCCTTCAAACACTTTGTCTGTTGTGGACAAATGCCTTTCCCGTTGCTTCTGGCCCCAGGGTGGGGAAGGAGAAGCAGGCTTTTAAGGGAAGGTTCTAGACCAGGTCATGTGGGAAGCATCTCTTTTCCAGCCTCCTTGGTTGGCAGACCAATAAGCTTAGCATGTCACCCCTAAGGTTGCCTCCAGGCCAAAGAAACCCTCGCAGGCCAGTACAAGAATTCAAAGGGCCTGGACACAGGGAGGCCATGCTTGCCACGACGAGTGGAATGACCTGTCTCCAGAGGTTATGGGTGTTCCATCCCTGTCTGAAATGGTATGGGGTCTCCTGTTTGGGCAGGGGGTTGGACTAGGAGACCTGCAAGGTCCCTTCCAGTCCTGTGAATCTGTACCCTATGCCTTTCTGGAGCAGATGCCTTGCTCTGGAGCTTGCCCTTGGGAAGGAGAAAAAAATAGCCCGATGTTTGAAGGATGCTGTCCTTTCCCCCCACTTGTCTTCTCTCGGCACCTTCAGTTGTTCTTCACGGGGTCTACATTGAACCTATTCCAGAAGTCTTCTTAAGGGGAGGGGGCATCCAGAATGGGACAGCCCTTGAGAGGCATCCAACTGAAGTCGGAGAGGGGGGGGGGGTGGCTATCCTGTCCATGGAACGTGATGCCACCCCCTCACCCACCTAAAAGGGCACAGCTTCTTTGCTGATAGGGGGCCCTGCTGGGTCCTATTCAGTTGCATATCTGAGCATTATTTTTTACTCCTTATTTCTGTTAAATTTAATTTCATTACTCTCAGCCCTTTCCCCCTATCTCTCATGTTTGTTGTGAATCTTATTACTGTATATTTCTGTCTTTTAGGGTATGAACTATTCTACATTTGTGCAAATTTCATAAGCGTTTTCTCCATCTTAATCCTTCTTGGTCCAAAATTTTAATCATTCCATAATGGTGAAAAATAAAGGCCAGGAATGATCTTTGGGGCATCTCACCTGTTGCATGCCTCCATTTGATGAGGAATAACAACTGATCATCTTTTAGGATGTTTTTGGGGCCAGGAAAATCCTAAGAATCCTAGAACATCATCAGCATGCCACAGTGGACCTTATCTAATACTTCACTGAAAACAAGATACACGTTTACAGCAGTGTTCAATGCACTGGGGAAATTATCCAGTCAGAAGCATGAGATGAATCTGGCAGAAAGCCCATGCTGGCGTTTTCCATGTGCTCTTCTGAGGCTGGTCTGTAATTTCTCGGAGTTTCCTTTCTTGCCTTTTCCTTCGAGGCAGGGACCATGCGGGCCCTTTCCCAGCCGCCCTGCACTCCCCTGTTCTGGGCTTCTCAAAGGCAAACGAACGCACCAAAGGATTGCCTAGGCCTGCCCTTCGGTTCCTTTCTTCCCTGCAGTTTAACTGGTCCTGGAGATTTCAACTCACCCAAAACAAAGAGCTGCCCTGGATTAGATTTCTGTCAAGTAAATCCTGCTGCCTTTCTTGTTGCTTCTGTTTCTTTCGAATAACTGTTGCATTTTGGTGGCTCCACCTGATCTCCCTTGAGCCTGTCGTGTTTTTGCTCTCATTATTTTTTACACTGAGCGTTACTGTAGAAGCAGCAGAGGTCATGAACCTCATCAGCCAATATTCTGGTTTTTCTTCGGGTGGTTTAAGACCGTGGCTCCCACCCTTGCCAACTTTGCGGACCGGTGGGGGAGGCCAGGGAAGAGGAAATGGTGCCTTGTGAGTGGCAGGCAATCACGCCTGTGTGTGAAGCTCCATTTGTGCAAGCGATGGCTTCACACGTGAAGCTCTCTTTGGGTGCACCTGCTGCTCACATAAATGGAGCCTCACACCGTGTGCAAGCGGAGCTGTGCACTCGCCTGCCACTTGCCCAGCCTAGTTCTGAATGGGCCCTGGGCCTGGGACCCCTCCTCTAAAAGGCCCTCCTCCAGCAACATCGTCCCTTTCTACAATGCCTGTCTCTCTATGGGACGGGGTTTCTCATCCTCAGTTGCTACTTAAAGTCTCCCAAACTAATTTTACCTTGTTAACCAAGCACGTTTCTCCCCCCACCCCCACCCCAACCCTTGTTTGATGTCAAGTGTCCTTTGTGTAGATGTTTCAGGCCCTGGCCTCAGAAACCATTTCCCCCACCACCACCCCACCACCCCATGGTCACCCCTTTTGTGTAGCCGTGTCATGACTTGCAGGGATCTGATTTGCCTCTCAGTCGGTCAAAGAGGCCTGAAGACCAAATGGATGGAGGAGCCTGGGGTGTCTCGGCTGCATCTCTCTCCCCCCCCCCCAAGTGTCTTCCACTCATCTAAGCAGGAAGGAATAATTGCCTCGTGGGTGGACTGGAAAGGTCTTGCGAGTTGTCCTGTCATGTCCTTGATCTTTACTCCAGGCAGACAGTGTAACTCTTCAGCTAATAGGTCCAGTCAACATACCTTTTGTTTCCATTCCTTCTGTAGTCATGAATCACCACCTACCGTGGTTCTTCTTTGTCTTCTTATCCGGCACAATCTCCTCCTTAGCAGGCTTTGGAGATCCAGCCTCTCTCTCTCTGTTGCCATGTTTGGCTTCTAAGAGCCTGAACAAGGTTTCTGGAGGGCTTCCTTTGCTTCTGGGCATGGCCCTCCTTTCCTGGGCTGCTCCCAGTTCGTCTTGTCTTCTTGTGGAGGAAGTCTTCATTCTAGCACCTCCTGCCTTTGCACGTGCACATCCTTTGCACATCCTTTCTCACCAACTCAGGTGTGACCCTCTGCTGCTGCTGCTGCTGCGGTTCTTCACAGACTGTCACAAACTTGCCAATGCAACTGATGCACACCACACTGTTTTCAAGCAGGAAGATCAGCATTGCAGGTCCACAGCTGCAGGCTCTTGTCCATGTTTGTTTCACTGAGCGCCACTGAAAGCTTCCCCTTTCTTCTCCTGTTCCCTTCAGGCCGTCCCATTGCCCAAGTGCAAACTCTGGTTTTAGAGGAAGAATTTGTTAAGGAGTTGGCTCCCTCCCCTCTCACCCCCCACTGCTGTGGGAGCCTCATTCTCACCATTTCTGAAGGTGAGATGTTGACTCACAGGGAAGCGAGGCATAGTGAGACCTACAAAATAGCCTCTGTTTCTAAGCACATGAGGAGCACATAGGAGGAGGGCTGTTGTCCCTGGACACTGTTGGACGTCCAGTTTCAAACGTAAGGAAATATTTTTAGTTTGGAGAAGGGACAAAAGACGATGCTTGCACGCCGTCCACTTGGAATATTGCAGGAGAGCAGGGTGGCCCCGTTCACTGGAGTTGTTAGATCAAATAATAAAGACCTGTCTTTCTTATATAGCAGCTAAATGGGTATTATTGAATGTAAAACTAGCCATTTTGTTCATATTGTGGAATATCAAACTAGCCATTGGCTAGCCATTCTCTGCTATTGGAGAGCCAGGGTGTGATGGTTCTGCTCAAGAGAGCACTTGTGCCAGGAGATGGGGCCCTTGGCTTGGCAAGAATCAGTGGAAGTTGGGCTTCTGTTGCAACATGGCACTGCATGTGCTGCTTTTGCAGTTTCCCTCTTCATACTCCCTCCTCCTTCCTTCTCTGGTTTATTTCAAAAAGTATTGAAATGCTGGAATTTCCTGGAGGCTACAGTGATTGCTCACCCTCTCCCAGTTTCAGGACAGCTAGTCCAGGCATGCTAACACGGGAACTCCTGGCTGGAGACCAACCCATTGGCTCTCTTGTAAGAGGACAGCAGTTCCTTGCTCATCGGGTGAGGAAGCTGTATAGGTGACTGGCAGGAGAGGAGAGGTCTGGAGGAACTCCCCTGCGTTTGCTGCCCTGGAAGACCAAGGCAGAGCAAAGGTGCTCCCTTCCTCACCACTCTGGCCATGTGGGAGGGCGGCCTCTATGAAAGCTTCTGGGGAGAATTGGCTTTCTGCCAGTGTGGAGTGGTGGATTTGCCCCCAATCCCAGATGGGTGCCTGGCTGAGAGCCAAGGGAAGCTGGAGGGCTCCCTAGCCAAGGGTGTCCCAAATACCCAGAGTTTTTAAATGGACGGCTGGCATCGCCAGTGAATGCTGAGAGCCGCTGAACACCGAGCCCATCCAGACATTTAGAAAACTGCGTCCAGAGTTGGATTCTGAAAGCTTCTGTTTACCTTGCAGCTCCTTCCTTCACCACTCAGCACCAGGGCAAGGGGTGGCTTGTGCAGCTCCTTCCCCCCCCGGCTTGTGTGGGTATGCCTAGAAAAGGAAGGTGAGCAGATCTTCCCCCGAAACTTGGCTGGGGAAGTCAACGGCGGTTTGTTTTTCTTGTTTCCCAGGAAGCACCTCGACTTCCAGCCAGCAACATGACGGAAGGCTTTGACTGTGCCAGCTGCAAGGAGTCTCTTTACGGGCGCAAGTACATCCAGGGAGATGAGGGTCCTTTCTGCATCCCATGCTATGACACACACTTTGCCAACACTTGTGATGAGTGCAAGGAGCTGATTGGCCATGACTGCCGGGTGAGGTGCCCCAGTTCTGCTCAGACTGCCCCTGCTTCCACCCCACCCCACCCCCCACCCCCGCAGTTCACAGGGGACCTTTAAAAGGAGAGCCTGAGAAAATATAAAATGCTATCAGGTGATCAAGACAGTAGCCAAAAGAAATCACCCTCAAGGCCCCCCAGCATTCCCCTGGGGCTAAGGATAGCTAAGGAAGGCCGGCCACCTCAGTGAGCAACCTCTTGGGCTCCTGGGCCTTCTGGAGGCTCCACTTTTGACCCATCGTCTCAGCTGCTGGCCTCTTTGGTTTATTCCTCTCTCCTAGCCCCCAATATGAAAGCTCCTGATCCTTCTCCCCCCAAGGCCCTTACTGTGCCTACCAGGGTACATTCCTTGGAGCAATCTCTCCAGGTTCCAGCCCTGAGAATGTGTAGAAGGGATCCAGGAGTCTCTTGACTCACACATGCTACGAAATGGAAACAGTCTGCTCTCTGGAGGCGCCCTTGCCTTAGATGGGGGGGGGGGGGGGCTGGATTGACAGGATTCAAAAGAGGAGAGAGGGAGGGAGGCGAGGTGATGATGCAGAGACAGATTAAGTCTAAAATGGAGTTCAAGAGTTTTATCAGTTGTTTGTATGCATGTCTGTGTGATGGTGTGTTTTTAAAAAGCCCATTGTCTTTATGAAGACAGCCTGAATGTCTGACAGTCTGATGTGTGCAAACCCAGAAAGCTCTTGCTCACCTGTCTTTGTTCCAAGACAGCTACTTGGAGATAACCTGATGTCCTGGGAGGTTGAAAGGCCCTGATATGGCTTTGTTGCTATTGTCAAACTTAATTGTTTTGCACCAAGTTTGTCCCATTCGTCCTGATAGGCCAGGTCCCATTAGTTGAAGAGAAGCCCCTGACCTGGTGTAGTACACCTTGTGTTGGGACCTGTGATGACGGTGCTTTAGACGTAGGGGCAAAGTAAAGGTGGGTCTGTTGCAGCCTGCTTCCGGTGTTGGCACTGTCTCCTCTCACCCTTTGTTGGGTAGAGTCTTGTCTGCCCGTGTGGATGGGCCTCCCGAGCAAGGGCAGCGCCTCGTCTGCTTTGGGCTGAGCCAAAGCAGATAATAATGTGTCTGCATTGGAGAGAGCTGCAGGTGGCAGCCAACAGGGACGGGCTCGTCTATTTCTAGGGCCACCTGCACGCCTGGAGAGGCCTCTCGCAGGAGGAAGAGGAACCTCGATCCCAGGTGCCTGGAAGCAGAAGGAAACTGGCCTCTGACCCCTGCTTTCCCCCCCCCCCCCCACAGGAGCTCTACTATGAGGATCGCCATTACCACGAGGGCTGCTTCCGTTGCTTCCGCTGCGACCGCTCCTTGGCCGACGAGCCTTTCACCTGCCAGGGGCAGGAGCTGCTCTGCAACGGCTGCTATTGCCAGGAGTTCTCCTCCCAGTGTGTGGCCTGCCAGCAGGTCGTCATGCCAGGTGCAGTGATGATTCCCCCCAAACCCAGGCCCAGCAGCCCCTGGGCTTTCGGGGGCTCACCCTCCCCCCTCCCTCTGCCCACAGGTTCTCGGAAGTTGGAGTACAACGGGCAGACTTGGCATGAGCACTGCTTCGTCTGCAGCAGCTGCCAGCAGCCCATTGGCGCTCGTTCCTTCATCCCGGAGCAGAAGGAGTACTACTGCGTCTCCTGCTACGAGAGCAAATTTGCGCCCCGCTGCACCCGCTGCAAGAAGGTTGGGTCTTGGCCACTGGAGGGGGAGAGGGAGGGGGATGTGGCTGGTAGGAGCGTCCTAGGGCGGCAGGGGGGGCCCAGCCAGCCCCTGAGATGAGCTTCCACTCCTGTGCTCGCAGTCGCTGACCAAGGGAGGAGTGACTTACCGGGACGAGCCCTGGCACAAGGAGTGCTTCGTCTGCACAAGCTGCGAGGCCCCCCTGGCTGGGCAGCAGTTCACCTCCCAGGAGGACCAGCCCTACTGCGTCAAGTGCTTTGGCAGCCTCTATGCCAAGAAATGCAGCGCCTGCGCAAAGCCCATCACAGGTGAGTCAAGTGGGAGGGTCCCCCAGCCTGGGGAGGACTCTGGAGAGCCAGCTCCCCTGCAGGGTCCCACGCCTCCTCTTTCTTCCGCAGGTTTCGGGGGAGGCAAGTACATCTCCTTTGAGGACCGCCACTGGCACCAGAGTTGCTTCAGCTGCTCCCGCTGTGCTGCCTCCCTGGTGGGCAAGGGCTTCATCCCTGACAACGAGGAGGTCCTGTGTCGTGATTGTGCCGGCAGCCTCTGAAAGGGCATCCCAGGCAGCTGCCCTCCAGATTGTGTGTGTGCCAAAGTTCCCTCCTGGGGCGGCAGGGCAGGGATGGCCCTCCCCTTCCTGGGATTCTTGCTGACTGGCGCCAGCCGCCTCTTTCCTGGCAGACCAAAATGGCAGCCTTCTCACCCGGCCTGCTGCCTCTGAGGAGCTCGAGCCGCTTCCCTTTTTCACTAGCAGCATGGCAGTGAAGTCCACCCCACCCCCGGCTGTGACCTGCCTGGAGGGCCACTTCCCTCTGGGCCCGGAAGAGGGCAGGGCGGGGCCTCTCAGAGGGCGGCAGCCTTCCACCTCCCACCCAAGTGCTTCTTCCCTGGGAGCCACCCCGGTTGTCCAGCAGTTAGTAGGAGCAAGCTCAGCGCTCCCCCCTCCACGGTCATGTTTCTTCCCAGCCTGCCCCCTTTTTCAGAGGAAAGGAGACCTCCGTCCCCGAGGCCCCCCTGGGGGACCATCTCTCTCCTCCCCCCCCCCCCCCCCCCCCAAACCCCGGGGGGGGGGGCGGCCCCCTTGGGGGGGCCCCCCCCCCCCCCCACCTTTGCTTTGTCTCCAGGAATCCCTGGGGGGGATTCCGAAAAAGAAAGTTTGCAAGGCACCAGCAAAGGCTCCCGTGTTTTGCTTTCCCAACCCCTCGGCTTGAGTTTTGAGTCCCCTGACCTTCCTTCCCCTCCCCCGCCTCTGGGCCTGGACTTTCTACCTGCTTCTTTCTGTCCTGGGAGTCTCCCACCCTTCAAGTCTGCCTGCCCACCTGGAAGGAAGGGGCTTTGTTGCTCTCTCTGGCCTGGATTTCTTTCTACTTTTCTTTGGTGAAATGCTCTGCATGTTCCTTTAAATGCATTATGTAGCCATTCCCTCAAATGCTTTGCTGTTGGGGAGACCACCAGGGTATCTGCCTGTTGGTGGAGCTGCTTACCTCTAGTCCGTGGATCTCTCCCCTCCTTTTCTGACTTTCTCTAATAAATCATGTTAATGGAGTGTTCATTATTAACTCACCTGGAGAATGGGGGCATGAGATGGGTTTGCTATGCTGGATTCAACGTTTCGTCTTCTCACTGAGCTGTTTCCCAAATCCTAAAAGAATTCAGCACTTCCTCCTCCAACCCACCGACCACCTGATGCTGCTGGGTGTGCCCGGACCTCTTCGCCACCCAGGATTTAGTGCAAGGAAGGGGAAAGGTGCCCCATGACAAAATTGAGGGGTTGCTCTCACCGCAACCAATTGCAGCCCAAGGCTCTCCAGAGTGGGAAGGAGGGGAAAATGCCTGCGACAGAAGTCAAGACTCTGGCAAGCAGTGCTCATAGCAAGGGAACGTCAGCCACAGGGTATGATGGCTTTCCCGTTCAGGGGGCTCAGAAAGCTCGGGAAAGGGAGTGAGTTTGGATCAGACCTTTTGCTGCTTGTAGAAGGCACTCGGCAACGTTAGTTACGGTCCATGCAAAGAGGGTGGCTGGTGTAGCATTTGAACGGGGGGGGGGTGCTCTGCCCCCACCTCTAGGCCCTTGGCAACCGAGCACCTAGTGGCTCTCTACTGCTGGGATCTGTTAGTGGTGGGATATCTCTTCCCAAAAAAGGAAGCGGATCAGGTTTGTTTGGCCAGCAACGTCTGGAACCCATCCCAAGGGGGTGGATGGGTCATGACCTGCCCTCTCTGCCTGGTTTATTTGTGGGCTGAAATGAGCTCACGTGGTAAGGCCTGGCAGAGTAGCAGTGAAAAGGGCCTCTGAGCTGGATGAGAAATCAGATGCTCTGGGCAAGGAGATGGAGCTCCAGGGGGAAGGAAGCCAGGCACACAGAAGCCCCACAGGCCACCTGGAGAGGCTTCAGCCAACTTTCCTAGGTCACCATGGGCAGCATGCACCCTTCATGCGTCTCCTGGCAAACCACAATGGTCTAGAATCAGTCCTCCTCCCGAGTCCAGTTATATCTATCACAAAAGATAATCAAGCAGTGGACTTGCAAGCACCAAGAAACAAGTAAGCTATCATTGGAAGCCAACATTGGTCAAAAACAGATCATGCCAGTCAAACCTTATTGCATTCTGTGACAAAGGGACTAAATTAGTGCACCAGTTAAATGCTGCGGACATCGTATGCTTGGAATTTGACGAAGTAGGCCACAAGCTGCTACTTGGTAAAATAGAAAAATGTTGGATACATAGCGTCACCAAAGTATAGTCCTGAATGGAACTATACATGGAAGGAAGTACATAGCAGGGTACCCCAAAGCTCTTGTCTTGGACCCATATTATTCAATATCTTCATAAACAATTTAGACAATTATTTAGAATAGCCAATACACCAGAAGATGGGCTAAAGATCTGGAAGGGTCTCAAACAAACTAGAACACTGGGCCCTATCTAACAAAATGAAATCCATTTAATTATGAGCCAGCAGTATGCTGTAGCTACCAAAAAAGCCAATGCAGTCAGGCTGCCTCAACAGAGGGATTATATCAAGGTCATGTGAAGTGTCAGTACCACTTTATACTGCCTTGCTAAGACTACAGTTGGAACTCTGCATCCAGTTTTGGTCACCACAATAGAAAAAAAAATGTTCTCTAAAAAGAATGTAGAGAACATCAAAAATGGTAAGGGATCTGGAGGCTAAAAGCACGATGAATGGTTGCAGGAACTGGCACTGTCTAGTTTAACAAGGAGTAGGGTGATACAGTAGTCTTCCAATATTTGAGTGGCTGTCCAAGAGAAGAGTGTGTTAACCTATCTCTAAAGTACCTGAAGACAGGACAAGAAGTTACGAGTGGAAACTTATCAAGGAGAGATCCAATTTAGAACTAAGAATTTTCCTGAAACAAAAATGAATAGAATGAATTGCTTTCAGAAGTTGTGGGTGCTCCATCACTGCAGTTTTTTTAAGAAAAAAAAATTAGACAGCTATTTGTCTGAAATGGTACAGAGTGTCCTGCTTGAGCAAGGGGTTGGACTAGAAGTCCTCCAAGGTCCCTTCCAACCCTGGTATTCTGTGCTGTGTAACTATTCTATATATTGATAAGTATTCATGAACCACACTGGTCTAACTTCATTTCTAGCTTTGCTATCTGCCAAGGTGCCTTATATGTTTATTAAAGGAAGTTTTGATGCATCTAAAGGATGTGAAGTAGCTTACAACATTCATAAAGATGAATAGTTCACAATTAAAATTCAGTGACTAAATAACCGGCATATGGAGCCAGTCCTATTTCTATTAAGATCCACATTTCTTGCAGGAAGCTACCAACAATGCATTTTTCAGACTTTTCAAAGTTCTCAAAGCACGATGGCTGTAGCAACAAGCCAAGCCATTGTGCCCATCATATAAAGAATTCAAAGGCAGGCAAAGAAGGTCTTCAGCTAAGATCTTCCCCGTAGGGAGATTGTGAGCAAAAGCACCTTGAAAAGGTTGTCCAAGGTGAAAAGCCCAGTGGTGTTAACTGACCTTAAAAGTCCCTGGTTGCTGCTGCTAATCCCTAGTAAGCCTGTGAGCAGCCACATTTTGCATCCCAAAGCAGGTTTAAACCTAGTCCAATGGTGACATTAATAGATGAAGCTATTCAGCCTTTCTGGGTCATCTCCTTTCTGGGTCATCTCCTTTCATCTGTTCTGTATTCTATATCCCAAAAATCAATTTATTTGATTTATATTGCCTCCCATCTCTTCAATAGCTCTACAATAAAAATAGTCAAAATACATAGCTGGACATCAACCACTCAATTAGCCACACAGTCAGGAGGTTGGCTTAATCCCAGGGCCCCAGGCTTGGGCAAAACAAGTTTTCAAGGGCATGTGATGCCTGTGCCACTGTAATTTGCACCAACTAAAGCTTCCAAATGCACTTCTAAGGGCAGCTCCATTTAAAGCTCATTGCAGTAATACAATCTGGAGGTCACAAAGGCATGGCCACAAACAGAAACACCTCACCCCCCTCCCCAATCCAGGCCTGGGTACAATTGATGTGTGGTCTGAAGTGCAAATGTCCTCCTAGGCAGGGCTACCAACTGCTTCTTAAGCAGGAGCCATGAGTCCAGTAGGATCCTGGTTTGCACACTAGCTCTGTGTAATGAACTTTGGAAAAAGTTCAGAGAAGAGCAACTAAGATGATCAAAAGCCTGAAGACTAAAACAGATGAAGAATGGCTGCAGGATTTGGGTTTGGCTAGTCTAGAGAAAAGAACTAGGGGTGACATGTTAGCAGCATTCCAATATTTGAGGGGCTGCCACAAAGAAGGAGGGGGTCCACCTATTCTCCAAAGCACCAGAAGGTAGAAGAAGCAATGGATGAAACTAATGAAAGAGAAAAGCTACCTGGAATTAAGGAGAAACTTCCTCACAGGGAGGACAGCTGGACTCCAGAAAACTTGGGCACTCCATAATGGGAGGTTTTTAAGAAGATACTGGACAGTCATTTGTCTGAGATGGTATAGGTTCTGCTTGAGCAGGGGGCTGGACTAGAAGACCTCAAAGGTCCTTTCCAGCCCATTCTATTCTATTCTAATGGGCAATAAGAATAAACTTGAGGAGCAAGAGAAAGAGCCATAGCCGAGACAATGGTCAAACAAAAGAAATATTTGGTCTCAGGCAGGATTTGAGAAAACATCTCAGACAAAAACCTCCCTAGTTGTCTTGAAGGGAAGAATAGATACATTCAGAGTTGCAAGATAACGTTACCATAACCTTGTAATAAAAGTAAATATTAGCATAATCTTGGCTTCCTGGTATGGTCTGCTGCAAAGGGCTGACACAATTTTAAGCTGGTACTAATCTATTCTCAACCAAATATGGAAGGTCTCTGAACCAGGAGGTCCAAAACCCCAGATCCATTCAATTTTCTTTGAATTAAGCTGAAGCTTCTTGTGCCCCATCCAGGCCCTCACAGCCTCCAGGCTCTGAGACAAAACTACACACACACAACATCACTCAGACAATCTTTGATGGAAATATCCTAATGTCATCATTGCCAACCATTGGATGACCTCACCCAACAGTTCCATGTAGTCTTAAAACAGGATAGGAGAAGGCACTGAGCTCTGTAACAACCCACAAAAGAGGGGCTTCTTACCCCCTTCCCAACATCAACTAGAACCACCCCAAGGGAACAAAGACAACCAGCATTAAACAGTGCTGCCCATCCCCAACTCCCAGAGCCTAGCCAGAAGGATACCATGATCTCTCCTACGTCAAGAGGAGCAAGGATGGATGCACTATCATCATCCCTCTCCTGCCAGTGGACACCCAAGAGTGCAGTCAATGCCATCTATATCCGGGATACATACCCAGACCTGAACGCAAACTGAAAGGGGTCCAGATGATCCACTTCTTCTAAGGCCTCCTGAAGCTGCACACCCTTCAACAGTGGCCTTATGAGATGGGAAGGCACCACTGTGACCACCCCCTCTCTCAATGAAGAATTGGTCCCCACCTAGCCCGGGGGGGGAGGGGGCGGATATCTAACCCTGGGATCTAACATAAGTGGCTGAGCTAACAGTCATGGGCATTCTGTCGCCTGAAGGGATCAAACTTCCCCCAGATAACTAAGCCATCCCCAGCCCCCACAGAACCCGCTCCAAGGCCAGAGTCCACCTTAGATCTGATCCACTTGCTCCATCAGATGGCCTCTCCTCTTCTACCAACACTGACTAGAACCAGCCATGATGGAAGGTGAATCACCATAGCACAGACCCTCTCATCCCAGCCCCCAAAGCTGGACTGTAAGGATGTCATGGTCGGTAGCATCAAAAGCCACCAGGAGGTCCAGAAAGGTGCACCACCTCAATCCCAAGTCCTCCAAAGGTCACTGACAAGCTTGACCAAGGCTGTTTCAGTGCTGTGACCAGCCTGAATGCAGACTGAAAAAGGTCTAGATCAGGGGTGTCAAACACAAGGCCCGCGGGCCAGATCTGGCGGGCAGGGTGATTAGATGTGGCCTGCGGGGTCACCCTGGAAACAGTGGACTGACCCAAGGTTCCTCTGCCAGCAAAAATGGAGCTATCTTTAATTGGAGCCAGTTTGATCTAGTGATTAAGGCTCCAGGCAGACTGACCTCAGCCATGAAAGCTAGTTGGGTGACTTTGAGCCAGTCATTCATTCTCAGCTTTACCCACTTCACAGGGTGGGGAAAATAGGAGGACTGTATGTTGGATATTTGTATAAAAGGCTTAATAAATAACAAACTACCAGATGAAATGAAATACAAACAAAGGCCATCTATCTCAGAGTGCAGAATATGGCAATGTAGCATGATGTAACTCTTTGGGTGCAGGTACTCTTAGTGAGTTCACACCCTCAACAAAATACGTGGGCAGAGACCTGCAACCGGCAGCAAACTGCAAAGGATATAAATGTGGGAATTGTGGTTCAAAAAAGTATCAACAGAAATAAATCTTTTGATATATTCCTTCTTGGTTCAAGTGCACCCATGGGTCAGTTTCCTCTGTCCAAAGGAAGCAATAGGGTTGGTTCAATTCAGAATAATTTGCAAATACATTGCTGGATTCAGCTTGAACACTTACAGTAAGGCACACTGCATCCTGCTTCTTACTGCTTCTTACATGTGGCAGCATTTTGTTACAAGTTATGATGTCTGTCCTTTACCCATATGTTCTGTCTCACCTTTCTTCTTTCAAAAAGATGAAAGAGTATAAACTCTAACAAACACAGGCAGGCAAGCTGGCTCGGACTTCACAGAGTTAATTCTTTGGAACTGATAATGTCCTTGGCATTCCAACACGCTCTGCCTGCCAAGTCCGAACTGAAAACAAGTAAAAAGCTACTTCCAAAAAATTACAAGGCAGACCATAAAATCATTCACAAAGAAAACCTGAAGCAAGATTAAACTTTGTCCCGTACAAAGTTCCAGCCGACAACACACCCACTTTTATCCCCTGTGGGGTGTGGCTCAATGACTCAGCTCACTCTCTGACCCTCCCACGCCTCCTACGTTGCTGCTCACATTTCTTCCTACGACGCTGCTTAGGATCAAGCCAACATTCTTCCTCTTGACTCCCTGTCAGGGGCTGCTCCGATATGCCTTCCTCCTGATTAATCTCAGGCTGTTCCTCTTGGTTGTCTGATGAAACCTGAGGCATTATCAGGGAGGAAGGCATTGCCAGAGAGGAAGGTCCTGGGGAGGAAGGCATTCCCAGTTCCTCCTCCTCATCTTCCGAGTCCTCTTCCTCTAACAGCACAAGGCTCGGGAATCGGAGCCACAACACCCATGTATGTGAGAAGGTGCTGGGCCAGACATGTTTCAATGCCACTGCCTGGGGAAACACTGCTTGCATGGATGTAGAATTTGTAAAAAGCACGTGTGGCATTCCTTTAATTTTTAGTTTAATTGGTTACCCTTGGTGTACATTCAGTTGATAGCACACTGTGCCACATGCATGCACTATGAACCACTCCGAATTGCGCATAGAAGAGCTGGAGAATCTATGGCCTTGTTCAACTGTTGCTGAAGTACAATTCATGGCACTTTTGGCCACACTAATGTAAGCTTTGGCCTGACAAAATTCCGTGCTAAAAAGATGAGCTAGACAAACTTCATAGCCAGAAAGCAAATGCACATAACAGAGATGGAAATAGAACTTAACCCACTGACTGGGTGGAAATTCCTTCTTTGCATTTCACATCTGGAGTAGTGCATGCTGCCTCAAAATGCAGGGAGCTATTATTTGGGTCAACTTTCTTGGATTGTTGGAGTCCACAGAAAGGTGGAGAAGGTGGAGGAAATGTAACAGAAAAAATTATTTATTCATACTTTATTGGCCATCCAAGTGGATTATGAATGGCAAAATAAACTAAAGAAAACATCAAAACACCTAAAAACATGGCATGAAACAGACAGCCCAGACAT